GGTCATCAGTGAATGTCCGACGTACCGTAATATTTTTTTTTTGACTGGCTAGAGTAATAACTTAATTTTTTGATAGATGTATTGAACCCACTAACCGGTATTGTTGCTCCAAGTTGTCGAGCCGCCTGAGCATGTCGTTCTGGACAGGCAGGTGTCAGATACTCAAAATCAGCCACAGCCGTGGTTACTACAGAGAGTCCATGTGGGATGAGGGGCTTCTTATCCGGATAGTCTTTATCAAAATATGAGTGCCCTTGAGAACTGAAAACTTAGACTTCATAGAAAAAGGGAAAATAGAAATAATTGTGCAACAAAACTAAATTAACTGTCAAAATCCGAATGAACCTGATCGGATAGCTGAGCGCGTGGCAGAGGTGGACACCGGCGTTACCGAAACCAACTCCAGCAAATGTACTGGCTAGCAGCATTTTTTCTCTCGCCTCCTCATCAGAACTGTCAAACACACTTCGCCGGAAGTATTTACCGATTATCTGAATAGTTCTGGAAAATAAACAGGGTAAACAAGACAAAACATTCATGAAGAGCCTCCTACCCGTAGCGCTTCCTGACTCCATACATCGCTGATAGGATTCGATCCCTGATAGAGAGGGCGAAGGTCAGGTCGTAGTGGGCGAGGGACCCGCTGAAAAAATGAAACAAGTTCAAAGGGGCTCAAAGCATGGCGCATCTCAGGGAAGTCAAAACACGGTTGTTCTCGGAATAGTGACCATCTGGAATCTGGAAGGAGGGGAACAAATGAGATCCAGAAACTAACCTTCGTGTAGGGCAACGCCGTAAAGCTTTCGAGAGCATGGCAAAGGACGTCAAAGCCGGAATAGATGGCTACGTTTCGAGGCATACTGTAAAATGTTCATTCAGGAATTGTGGTGACTAGCTGGGACCAGTTGGGACTCGCCTTTTGATATTTTCAGGATCAACAATAGCCAACAAAGGTTTGATACACCGTTGTCTGATACCGGATTTGCATCGATGCTTTGGGAGGTCCATAATTGCAGCACCTGATGAAAGGCAATAAAATCGCGTATAACACTATACAGAAAGCAAATCCAGGGAATGGTTTTGTTGATAAACGGTTATGAACTTCCTACTACTGCAAGGGAATTATTACCCATTTTAAGTACGTGCTGGAAAAGGCCGATTGAAGGATAAAATAATCGGCTTCGAGAAAATGATCGAACCTGTCGTTTCACTGCCGGTCCCAGCCGTCGTAGGAACGGCTATCAACGGTAACATTGGATTTTGTGGAACGAGATTCTTGCCAAATGGTGGACAAACGAAATCGAAAAAGTCCGCCTGTGGATTCGAGCAGTACAAGGCTGCCGCCTGCAAAGGTATTTCCACGTTAAGCTCTTAACTATCAAATGGAAGGTGAAAATTTTCAGTGTCGTTCTGTAACAGCACCCAAGTTCAGATTCCTGACTTTATACTGCCCGTCCACTGAGATCTTCTCCCCCAGGTTCAGAGCTACCCGACAGCGACCCGGACTTTGGGGAGGCTGGGTGCCCATGAAATAGTAACAAACCACAGTTGTAAACAAATTTCTGACTGGACCTATACTATACCGAAGTCTTCAGATCTCAGATCGTCAGATCTTAATTTTCAGATCCTCGCGTGGTAGAGGTAAGAATGGTGTTCAGTGGCCCCGTGCTAGATTTTGATTCCGTGAATCGGGGCATGGGTCAAATCCTACTCATCCGAGCCTCCTTTCTTACCGGGATCAGGTAGGGTACAGTTGCACGTGGCACACTGTCACGGCCATGGTCCTAGGATTGAGTACCGGTAAGAACCCACCCAAGAACATAGTCTACCTTTTCCCCTGAATTTATTGATACCAGAACCGTTCCTGAGGATAGAAACACTGACTCTTACATAGCTGGCCTCCGCAGTCATTTTGTTGGACATGTACGCGTTAGAAACGCTAGTACAATTTTACAATTAATCCAAGTGCTGGGCCTCGTCCGAGAAACGGAGTTAATCAAGGTCGAAGGGATTGTCTCTTGATTACTCCCAAAAAAGATTAGGCGTTGTCGTCGGTATTTCACCCTGATCTCGAGTTTGCTTTACCTTTGTCGTATCTATAACTGATCCGCCACCAACAGCCACAAACGAGTCACATCCAGCGTTACGAGCAAATTCCACTGCTTTCAGCATGCCTAAAAGTTCATTCTGGTACCGCTGTAAACTACAGTCTTACGAAAGGTTTTACTGAAAGAATGACTAAATCTAACTTACTTTCATCTGATGGTTCAATCTGCACGTCGTCAAATACCGTAAATTTCAAGCCAAACGATTTCAGTGAGTGTGAGACGGTCCTAAATGGAGATCGAAATTTTCGTAAACCTCCTGGACACCTAGACGGCCATTGAACCCACTTGAATCCCGTGGTGTTCGCGACGTTTTTATCGGTGACTACGAGAGTGTGTTTTGCACCTAAGTTCCTTACGTCGTAGCCGATTTCCGATGTGACTCCTTTACCGAAACGGATTGTCGAACAAATCATTTCGAATGCATTGTCCGTGCTAGCTGGAAAAGTATCAAATAAATTTCGGCTCCAAAAATCACCCAGAAATCTTGGATTAATGTTTTCTAAGAAAAATTTATTTTTCAAGTTAGTTCCCCGAAAATCGAGAAAAGGTCACGTGGTTGTAGATGAGGACTACATTTTTTCTGGACGTTTTTCATCAGCTTTACACCGCGCCCTTCGTGTTTTCTTGCCCTCGGATCTCCGCCCCACCATGAGAGTTCAAAGAAATTCATTGAAAACCACGTCCCAAGAACATAACCTATTTCAGGATTCTTCACGAAAAAAAAAAATAACATTCTAGCTATTGAGGGTGCAGGCTTTTCTCAAAAAATCATCTAAATCCAATCACCTATAAACCAGAACCTAAAATTACATAAAAAATTTCTGGATCATATTACCCCTACCCTTTCTGCCTACCTTGAAGGCACTGTTCACAATAAAAAGTGTTCTTGAGATCTATCGCGCTAATAGACCCAGTAAGGGCTCAAAGATTGGCAGCCACGGAGACCACACCCAGAAACGGCCGTGTTTTAACGACTTCATAAAAACAGCACCGTTCGCAGCGGAACACATGCAAATCAAGTAGGTTATTTATGATCAAATTAATAGGTAAACAGCTAAGTTGTACTCGGAATTACTAAGGCAACTGCACGAGTGCTTACTAGTACTTTTTGCTAGGAAAATTTGAGCCGTTGAGAAAATCCAAAGTTCTGATTTTTTTCGATTATCCAGAGGCGGATGAGGCTTTGGAACAGTACAACACTAGGTTAGAGTAACTTATCACTTATTAAAGGTGAATAGTACAAAATCAAATAAATTAGTAAGTGAAAAACCTGACCATGAGTTCCTCCACTAAGCCGGGCTATCTGTAACGGACTTGGATCGTGGACATGATGAGGGCATACACCACCCATTGTCTGGCAGACTCTTTCCAGAAAGCCTCGAGCCACCTTCCCGGACATCCGAAACCGTACACATTGAGAACATACCACAGGATCATATTAAACGCGAATACAAACGCATATCAATTTAAACTATACATATTGATTGGTAAACAGCTCGAGTACCTTCGTATCATGATAAGTCTGAAGAAAGAATAGAAGATTCTACAGTAGCTCACAAAAAGAGATCATGGACTAGAATATGACATAGGTAAAGGGATAAAGTGTCATGGTTGCTAAGCAACATAACGGGGTTGCGCCATGCATTCGGCCTCCCTTCATTGTTTCGCTGAGCCCCAATTAAATTTTGTAATTATCTACGATGTGCAAAAGTCAGTCGTCATCCAATTGTGGTTTCAGATCTACCTCAAAGACCTCCCTTGAATAACCTCGATCTCTTTCATTTCCTCAGAAGAAGAGGGAGATTTGTTCAAAGAATTCTCACAGTTTGAAAAAGCCGACTATGAGAGCCTGTCATCTCATACTCATGTCATGTTTGGCATCTCAAAATTTTACAAAAACTCTGTAGATGTAATAAAAAAATGAAAAAAAACATAAAATTGTAAAGAAAAAGGATGAGTAGAGTCAAGGGAAAGAATAAGAGGGAAAGAACTATCAATCCATAGACCCAGCATAGCTCTAGGTGCTCTTGAGGGTGTGAAGGCGTCACTGCAGAATGGATACCCTCATTCCTCGAACTGCGATTCTATCTATCTACTAGGTCATCCTCCGCGAGGTGAGATCACCCCCGATCCGGAGCCTAGTAAATGTATTTTGAGTGGGAGATTAAATGAAAAAAGGGCACATGTTTTCCATGGGTTATCTCCTCTGGAAAAAAAATGGGAGCGAGATATTAAGGAGGGGATGAGGTAGACATTACGGCAGGAGGGCAAGGGCGACTGAGAGGCGAGACGAAAGCCAGGTAGCGGACACTCAATCATTGCGACGACGGCATCGGTTAACGAACGACCGAACGATGACCGGGTTCGATGCTGATAGCGGACAATCGATAGTCGGTCTAACATCAAAGGACAACTGGATATCGAAGCAGACCACACAAGTGGGAAAGTTCTCCTTTCCGGGTGATGGACTATTATCATTTCTTCCGATTTCTGCACTCTCTTTCTTAGATTATCTTCGATTTCGCCGGTCTCTGATTATTTCCGCCCATTCAAGAAAAGGCAGTGGGGAATAAAAAGCGTTCCTTATTACAGTTATCAATTCCGCTGCTGCCAGTATCTGAAATTGCTGGGAAAGCGATAACTCACTCCCTCTAATTTATTACCAGTTGTATTGATATAACACAAAAAATCATCAGAAAATAGAAAGTTACTCTTGAAAGGATCAGGCCGCCAACATAGCCGAGGGTCTAAACGCGACGCAGCCGCGCGCGCACCATACATTCGATTTTTTCCTGAGGTGTAAAGGCTAAGAATTTCTGAAAACGGCTTTTTCTTTCGCCATAGTTTCATCCGCATGCAACCAAAGTATTATGAAGTGTTCCTGATATTGTTACTAGTAATAAAAATAATTACAAAGCCTATGGGACTGTTCCTTCATGTACATATACACACCTTATTGTTAGGAGAGCTCTCAAACTGGAAGCCCTGTCTCGACAATCGAAAGAAAAAAATCCTTAACCACAGTCTCTGCAGCCGATTCGGGAAATGAAAGCGGTAATTGTCATGGCGTGAAAAATAGCTTCACTGGATCCCATGGATCATGTCAATATCACGTGTACCACAAAAAAAATGGAGGAAAAATGCAACACACGTTTGACTAATTCCTATCTACTGGTTTGATAGATTAGACCGGACAGTTGGCCTGATGCATGGTTTCATTGGCCTGATAAGAAGTTCAGAACTCTCTGCAGTCGAATCACTTCGCTAAATTGGCTTCGTAAACCTTGCTTTGACACCCTAGCTCGATTTCCAACAGATTATAAGAAACCTCACCACACAAGCCATCAAAAACAATTCCATAATGACATTTATTTGGATTTCCTCTGTACAAAAAGCTCACGAAAGTGAATGGAAATGTGCTGTATTCGCAAAAAGAATTAATAACAAAGACAAGGATCAACAAATAACAAAAACAACAACAGAAACCACGACAACCGGCTCCCATTTACTCCATTTCGTTCTCACGCTTCATAAAATCTTCGTCTTCCTCTTCCTCCTTAGTCTCCACCTAAAAACTGTCGGTTTTATCATGAACTCGTGGTAGAGACTACGTGAATATTACTCAAAGTAGCAATAAATTACTCAAAGTAGCAATAACTGAACAGAAAAGCAACGCAAAAGCCGTTGCAATGCGAAAGCTCTATTAAAGCTGTCAAAAAACACTCGAAAAAGTTACCTTCGTCACATCATCCCTGCTTTTCTCAGGGTAAACGTGGAAAGTGTCCCCTTGTAATCGCTTCATAGTTTCCCTTCGTTCTTTAGCAGTCATCTTCTTAGACATTTCTTCCGCCAAGACTCGTTGCCTCTCAGCAACTGCGTTGAAAAGTTGCACAACACCTCTGAAATCAAACAGAGTTGCCTGCGGCCCTCAACCTGGAAAGACATTTTTATCCAAAAGGGACAGACTTAGTTGCGATTCTTTTCAATAGCCTCTCCTTCTCTCGATTAGTTGTCACGTCGGGCTTCACGAGTCCCAGTAGCTTCCTTTCTTGGGTTAGCTTCCTCTTCTCACTCAACTGACTTTTAGTAAGCTTCTTCTTCTTAAGTAATTTCCGCTGAAACAATGTGTCATACCATGATATAATTGTGATGAATTGGATAAAAATAAAAAAAAGGTATCAGGAATCCTACTTTTTTAGATTTTTCTGTAGGTTTCGAATGAAGCGCCACGGTATTCACCAATTCCGTCTTAAACATACGACCATGTGGTTGTTCGTCGTCATCGTCGGAGCCTGGAACAAACTAGCTTCACTCATACAGTTTCAGCATCAAGAATACAGCCGTACTATTCAAGAATGAATCCACTGCTCCGTTTTTTGGAAGTTTTTAAAAACGGAAACAGCAGTAACATCCTCAGTAAAAGATCATAATATATGCTAATCACAACATATCGTCCAATAAAAAATTTAGTAAGCATTAAAAAGGGAAATGACCGCATGCTAAGCCAGAGTTTTCCAGCGATAACATCCTGCTGAAACTATTTTCACACTCCTACTCCACCTCACCGCAGTACACGGTTTTCAAAAGGTTCACCATTTGGTATACTTGCTCTAACAATGTGTCATACTCTATATCATGAATAGAGAAATTAATCAGAAAAGACGAGAATAAAAGCAGGACCTTAAGCAGACTCACCTTCGCTTTCATGACCCTCCTCTTCTGACTCCTCATAGACCTCTAAAACATCGCCATTACCTACCTTCATGTAGGTCTCTGAAATACTTGGAATTACCGCATAAAAAGAAGTTACAAAGCGGGTTAGATAAATCTGGAAAGTGAGAAGTCCACACACACAGAAAAGATTTGTCTAGCACAATCGAATAGAAATGTAATTATAGCAACTTGATTATATTAAATAAAAATAAAACTTGAACAATTCCATGCGCCACGAGCTAGAATTTGCCGTCACCTTCCCCACTCAGTCTGAGGTTGCCATGAGTGCAATTAACTTGGCGGCTTTTTTGAAGTTGAGTGTGCTCCTGCTGTAGAGCTGGTGCGGTTGTGCTTGTCCTCTAGAGAGTTTGTTGATTTCTCCTTATAGTGCTTGAATTTAATGATCTGTTTCTTTGCTATTCTACGTGGAGTACTCTTGTCTTGTCGGAAAATTATCCAGTGGAACTTTCCACTAGTTTTGTGAAAGTTTAGGAACAAATTTTCGTGTTACCCTGGGTAAAAGAACAGGTTTTGTGTTTCTTGAGTGTTGCTTTGTAATTCTTTTGCAATTATAAACAGGCTGGAATGTTTTCATTGTGGAAATCACTTTTATCATTTATGTGATTAATTCAACAGTGACTTAATATTTCAGAAGAGATAATTTGTAGCAACTTAGATGTTGTCAGAAGCAGCTTTCAAAATTATCTTCACCTCAAAGAAGCACGGTATGAAACAGAAATCCGTCTGTAAATTTATTTTTCGTAATGGAAATGGACTTTGGACTTTGCAGTGACCATGTTCAAAAAGGTGCTAGGTGTAATGGACCTGAAGGTTGTTTACAGCCTAAAGTCTAAAGGGTAAAGTCCTGGAGTTATTCCCAAACGAGTTCGTGTCAGTCAACCGACCCGGTTTGGATGAAAATCTTGGTTGTCTTGAGCAAGTATGATCCAGGATCCGATCCCTGTGATAGTTTGCCACTACCCACAATACCACGTCTGCCCATGTTGTTTACAGCTGTGTGTTTATACTTTAGAGAGATGTACTCTAGCGGATCGAGAACTTCTGAATCGCATCAAAGAACTGTGGTGTCTGTCTGACTCAGCTGAGGGGAATGGAGAAAACTTAGATCTGAAAAGAACTCTGACAGAAGAGCAGAAGTAGAGCTTCCCGTAGTGATTATAGAGACATACTTGACAGCCGTCTACTCAGCTCTGCTCCAAGCTGTGATGTGCCCATCATATTCTTGAATAATTACTCATGCTTCTTCGAAACTCGGTCGGTGCGCTCCTTTATGCTACCTCTACACCATTCCTGAGCCAAAACTGGTACTTTTCGCTCAAATTCGATTAAAAGTTCTTTGCGTGTTCATACTCTTCACCATCCATCACTTGCTCTTCAGACCTCTTGAGAGATATGTTTAGTAGAATTTAGTCTTTTCATTGTCTTCCCAAGCATCCAGCTGTTGTAGGCGTCATTTTGTCGTGGTTGTCCCAGGCAGTGCCTTCCTACGTGCAAAACACGCGATTGCATGCGTCAACAATGCCCTTTTCTTCAACTAATTGCCGACTTTTTAACATCAGTTATTGATTCGATTTTGCGTTCATTTGTTTTATGAGGCAATCTCGAAGGTCAGACACGTTAGGCTGCCATTCAGGGGACGAATGGGATTGCGATTTATTATCTTACTATCTACGTTTTCAATAATCTTAAATTTGACGTTTTATTCGTGGGTTTAGCTGTTCTAGAAGCTATTCCTAGCAAGAAATGTAGGTGTGTCGGCACTTTTTTGTGTCGGCACTAACTGGTGCCAGATAGATGATCAAGAGACGTTGAATAACCGCTGCTTACTAGTTTTTCTTGGTCTGCCCCATCAAAATTCCCGGTATGGTAATTATAGCACAGTGTCCTACCGAAAATATGTAGACTTTTTTCCCGATTTATCCGAGAAAGGCAAGACTCCTTCCCGGATGTGGGACTTCAGTCGCGTCGAGGGGCTTCGCGTAGCCGTTATTGTCAAAAACTGTTCAAAAACTGGCACTATCGCTGTTATTGTAGTGGCCAAAATGTCATTCGGGATGACTTATACTCCTCACTACCGCTACGGCCTGACTGTAATAGTTAAGAACTGCTATTAGAGTGCACTAGCCGCTCTAACAGACCTTTCCCCCTTCAAGATCCTGGATATCTATCTTCTCCTTTTTGATCAGATTCTTTTTGTTAATTTGATAACGTGCTTCTTCCCGCACGCACAAGTTGTTACATGCTCCGCAACTGATAGTCAAAAGCACGTGTATGTAGTTTTTCACCGTTCATCGACTCATTCTCAAGCTATCGCACGTACTCTGACTGGTTTTCGACACATCGTGCTTATCTCATTGTATTTTTATACCGCGATCTCCTCGATTCTAACTAGGAATCCTTTTGAAGATCAAATGGTTTCTTCTCGCACGTGGAAAGAGTTGGGCGTTTTTGGCGGCCTTATTGTCGGTATGTTCTTTCGTTATGGTTTATTTAAGTGATTTCTTATGAAGTACTTTTTTTTTCTCATAAAGACGTGCTTACTCTTTCTCTTTTTTTCGATGTCTTATGATGAATTGTGGTAAAATTACGGTGTAATGAGGATTTTGTCCTTATTTCAGCTATGCATGTTGCCTACTACACAATCCAGAATAATCCATCTTTAGTAGCACCACATCAGAGATCGGAGTTGTTCTATGTATGTTTTAATTTTGTTCTTGAATACATTTCCTTTCCATTGGACACATTTTTATTAAATTAAACCTGAACGTGGCTCTTTCACTCTACAATAAAACAAACTCTCACAACTGCTACACTAACTTTCACCTTAGACTAATTCTGAGTTGGCGATCTAGTACAAGGACAATATGGTTAAGTCATCCCTGCTTATCTAACGAGATTAAATCTCAATCCTTATCGCTATAGGCACCGTCTTCATTGAGCGTATATGCTTCCATTCCACGGAATCTATGGGTAGTTGAGATTGCGCAAACAAGATAAGGGATGAATGTCAGTCGGGGTCTAAAAAAGAGCTATCGGTGTTTTCATAGACTGTCGGGAAAATCGGATTGATTTGTTTAAAACTCTTTTACATCATGTATATGTTATGGTTTCCTAGCATTGACTGTGCATCATGTTGACTGTGTCATTCTGTTTTTTATTTATCTATTTCTTTATCTTTCAGGTCAGATGGCTCAAGAAGCAATTCCCAGCTCTGCGTCCATATGGTGTTCAGGAAGAGGAGCCTCCAAAGCCTCCAAGCCAATAAAGCCTCTATCTTTTCAGTATAAAATATAGATACGTAGTATGTCATATGCTGGTACCCTTGTCCTGGTGAACTTTTTTTGTTTGTGTTTTGTTTCTAATGAATAAATAGGTTCTTTCAAATGTTCATTTAAAGTTTAAGTTAATTCGGTTGAAAACCTTTTTGTACCAAGCAAACGAAATCATGCTATTTTCCTTACTAAGTAGCTTCCACAGATGACTACAATTCGACCTTTCGATGTGATGGATATGCTGAAATTTAACAACGTGAATTTGGACAGTATGACTGAGACGGTAATTTTATATTCACACCTCTTAATACTGTATCTTACCAGTTAGCATACGCAGAAGTGTCTGCTATTTCTTTGTGGTATAAGTATAGTTGAGGCCCTATAAGGTCACTGAGGGATAACTGAGTTCTCTTGCAATGAAGTTGGAAGCTGTGTGTAGGTAGTTCAAGGAATGCTATATCTTTTATATGGCTTGTATATGACTGTGTCAGCGCACAAATGTTTGTGCTGAAGCGTGTTGTGAAGCCATCATGAGAGTAGGTCGTTTGTGACAAGAATGGATGCACTGCAATTTGCTGGAGGAGCTTAAAAAAACCCAGAACTCATTTCTGCGGTAGTTCGGCGGTCGAGAAGAGAAGGCGGTCACTTAAGCATGCATGGGGCCGCTAAGCTCCTTAAGTGTTTTTCTTTGCACTCTGACTTAAATATGAAGGGACTTAGATGTGGTAGGTGGCTGGAAAAGTTGTTTCAGCAGGTAAGCTGGCTGGATCAGCAGTTAGTTAGCATCAAGAAGTGCTGGCTGGCTATCTAGCTAGAATCTGCAGTGCCTTCCTAAGTTCTTGAAGCTTTGAAGTTTTTATCACCGATCTTTTGTAGAATGGGATACATGGTAGGATATTTGTCGTGGATTACCTTTTCGTTCTATGTTTTTCTGCACCAATGTCAGAATGATGTTTTTTTATAAAACTTTGGATTTAGTATGGCTTCAACTTCTACTTGTATTATCTTGTGAATTGGCCAGAGTACTATCAAGTTGCTGAGCACCCCAATGGACAAATCATGGGATATAGTGAGTTTTTGATGAATTCCTATCCAAAGAAATCATCTTTCTTTCTCAGAAGACCGTCTTCCGCTTTCATTTATATTTTTTCATTAAATACTTTTTTGCGTGCCTATTAAAGATGCAACCTTAGTTTTCAGTCATGGGCAAAGCTGAAGGAAGAGATGAGAATTGGCATGGTCACGTTACAGCGCTTTCTGTAGCCCCGGATTATCGTCGTCTTGGGCTCGCTGCTCGTATGATGCATACGCTTGAACATATTTCTGAAATGTAGGTTTCTGTCATTTTATTTACTCGTGGACTTCTACGGTAAAGGTAGCCTAGATGACTCGTCTTCCCTCGTCACCAATAGTAGATGGCGCCATGTTTTCCACTCCCACCGTGAAACTTCATGTTGTACTTACATTCATTCTGTCGTATTTATGAATTGTAAATATACCTGTTTAAAAACATAATGATATGCCTCATACTCGCTTCTATATACAAATTTTTGCCTGCTCTCGAATACAAGCTCTGGTCTGCCCAAAATTTATTTTTCTCTAAGTAATTACGATATTCCGTATATTAATGACACTCTGTTCAGGAAGAAAGCCTATTTCGTCGACCTTTTTGTTCGTGTATCAAATCACATTGCAATTTCAATGTATAAGGCGCTAGGATACGTCGTATACAGGGAAATAATCGACTATTACTCGGGACCAAGGGATGAAAACGCATATGGTCCGTACTTTGGGTTATGCTCAAATCGAAATTGTCTTCTTTTAGTTTTCTAGTAATTTATAATCTATTTGGAAGTATTCATTCCCTTTCATTTGTGATTTCAGATATGCGTAAAGCAATGTCTATGGACAAAGAAAAGAAAAGTGTCATACCGTTACCTCATCCGGTCCATTCGAATGACATATGACTAGAATACGAAGAACATCCTCGATCGTTAAGAAATCGATCGCTTGAAATTCTTACTGGACTTCTAGTATCGTTTTTATGTGCAAGTGATTTAACTATAGATGACATAAGCTCTATCGGGTATCGGTATGCTGTCATTTTGGGCAGTTTCATTGTTACGGTGTTTGCTTTTGTTGTGGACATTGTTGTGAGGTGGTTTTTGTAGTAGCTTTTGAGTAAATATTGTCAATCATCGATGTAATCTCGAGTGATTTGATTGGATAACCTTCCAATTTGTTCATATACAATTTCTCATTGACTTTTGAGAATACATAGATCATGAGAAGTCGAATTTGGAGTCAAATCGAGCGGGATCACAGTTTCATGAAGGGGATCGGCTCAGTCTGCTCAAAAATCTTTGCGGCTAGAGGACCACCTTCAGCTTCAGCTGCTACCCTCTTAACGGCTACCGCCTTCTCTAGCAATCTTTATGTGAAGACCTAACCCTCTGAAGTAGACGTGCGAAAGGGGGGTCAATCCGAAAGCTTTTTCCTTTTGAGGAAAAGGGGTCCTGTTTTCAAGTAAGGTTTTTACGATTAAAAGGTGCAGCACCTCAGGGAACCCTTGGTACTACTGCTGAAGAGAGTAAAGGGAAAAGGTGCTGAAAGGAGATGCCCAAAATATGACAGTACAACTTCATCACTTGACTGCTTATTAGACTTTCGTTCGTGGACATCAATGACTTAATAATTTACCTGATTTCCAGATGGATGCTAACGAACTGAAGCAAAAGGAGAAGTTTTCTATTTTTACCTACATCCAATACACCACAACAGCTGCAGCAGCCATTCTGCTCTTACGGACCTCAAATCGTTTTTTGACTCATGCTCAGCGAGGAAAAACTATTGTAGGGGCTGTAGGTAAGTTTTATGCTGGCAATGTTTCCTTCATAGTTCCTTGAGAACCCTGCCTATCAGAAGCGTTATAAAGCTTCTACTATTACGACAGGAGTCGGTCTGGTTCTTGGTGCTTTTCCATGCCATGGGCAACTTCCTTATATGTAGCTCCGAGCCATCTGAGAGTTATTTGATTTTCTTTTTCAGGCTGTATTTATCTATCTGTGGCTAATGAATTCGGGATATTTCCTTTCAACTTCTTCGTAAAAGAGAAGGTTTCAATACGGAAGTCTTGACTATTTTGTAATGTTCACTATAGATATGATCTATGGATAAATAATAGTAACGCTCAAAGTCTTGTCTCTGTAATGTTCACGACGTTGTTCCGTGAGTTATCCATGCCTATTTCATGCATATGTATGCTGTATTTTGTTTTTACTCTGATATTTTTGCTTGTTTTTCGGCTTTAGAGATGACTTCGGAATTACCGTCGAAGAAAATCGAAAAAGATTGTTTTCCGTGCCGTGTGACTGGTACGTTAAGTTCTGCTGCAATTGGAGCCTTTATATTCTACGTGACGGCGACTTCAAAGTATTACGTGAATAGGCCCTACGTTAAACTGGCTGTTCAAAGCGGAGGCGTCGGTTAGTTATTCGAAGATATTTTATATCAAATTACATCTTTATTTTTTGAATCCATCTATTTCAGTGTTTCTTTACGGTTCTCTGGCGCGTTGGTTTTACCTTCCTCCATTCGATCCTTTGAGGCCTCGCGAAAGGGAGATAAGCCAATGAATTGTTGTTATAGAATTAATATAATTTGGAATCATATTGCATGCATACACTGTATATTTTGTTCTATCTTGTAAGTGTGGAAGTAATATTTTTTTCTATAGACATAGTTCTGTATTGTTCTTTCTTTTTCTGAGTAAATATCCGAAAATGACTTGATATATCTGCTCTGTTACGCAAAGACTACGAACTGATTAATTCCTGAAATATGTGGATTTAGTATGTCAATTTGGGATCAGGTTGTAACCAAGTCTATTGGTATTCCCGCGCTATTACTGAGGCATTTTTGGATGTATGAAGTCCTCGTTTTCGAGGAAGTTGTGATTTTTGTCAGCATGAGGTGTGGGTTAGCGTATGCGCGATATGGCAATCTCACAACAAGAATTTTCGACGAAAAACTCGAAAGCATAGTTGACAGAAACGGAATGGTCCTGCAGATCGAGGGATGAGAAAAGGTCTTCTAGCCTCTAATGGTCGACATCTGAAGTCGTGACCGAGATAAGGTTTGGGAATGGTATAAGGGGGCTCAGGTTCGCTAAGGCTAGTGAACCTTGGAGTCCTCATTGCTTCATTTCCATACTGTATTTCATCGTAACAACGTCCTATGTTGACTAATCGAAGGCCAAGGCTCCTAGAAGCTCGCTATCTGTGGGACTGAGTCGATTGTTAAGTGTGTTCTCAAGAAGCACAGGACGTTGTTTAGAAAAGCGCAAAGTAGCCATACATTCAGAAGGGTTTTCGACGATTTGCACGTTAGACCGTGATTTAATGTCGGGATTTTGATGATTTTCGGTGAGAACCATCTTTTAAATCCCGGTTGCGGCCACGTTTCGTGACATCTGAGCGAGCGGTTGCGGCGCGGTTTATGGGTCATCTGTGCGCTCACATGAGACAAGCTATTGAGTTGCTTGACCAAGATTACATCCGAGTCCTCCTGTACTTCAATACTGTCTGTAACGGTCCTCCGCGTAAGTTGTTCGAGTCCTCAGCTTTACGTCAGGGAAACCTGCTTGCGTACGAAGCTCACCAGTCGGTATACTAAAAGGAAAGCCGTAATTTGATTCCGCCCATTTCAGGCTGAATGTCGTCTACTAGTGACGAACTGCTATCCAAAATCGATGTGGTATTTGTTATGGGCGTTAGTGGTTGCGGAAAGACCACCGTAGGCAGTCTACTGGCTGACTCTTTTGGATGGCGCTACAAGGATGGAGACGATTTCCATTCGGAAGCGAATGTGGCTAAGATGAAATCCGGTAAGGGTGAAATCGTAGTCTTCATGAGCCTTACCTCTTACCTATCTTTTTAAGGAACCCCACTCGACGATAGTGACCGCATACCATGGCTTACTGCGATCAATGCATACTGTAGAGCCAGCAGAAGAGTAGTAATCGGTTGTTCTGCCTTGAAGAAAAGTTACCGTAACTTGCTTAGGGAGGGAATTCGATGCCGTTTTGTATACCTCAAGGTAGACATGTAAGTCTGAATGAAAGTGAAGTGAAAGTTTGTCTGAAATTACTACCGTATCCGCACTCTCGTTGAAGGAACCTTCTGGAGAAGCGTGTGAAAAACCGAAAGGGTCATTATATGCCTCCTGAACTGCTTGGCAGCCAACTGGCCACCCTTGAAGATCCTTCTGGCGAAGATGATGTGATTACCATTGAAATTATAGAGGAGCAGGATAATTCAGTTCTGATTGATCACATCAGGCAATGTTTACTTCGAAGTATTTGACTGTCTTTCCTAAGCCTCTTATGAAGGGTGAACTCATAATTTTCTATTATTGTGCTTTTTTGTACCTCTGTAAGAATTGTGATAAGTTGTGATACTTTGTGATACCTCTGAAGAAAGCTCATGAAGAAGGCCTGTCAGCTAGTTCCTCGTGTACGAGTTTTATGGACACTGAGATCGTAATCCTGAGGCTAGTTGGGATCGTACATTGACATATTCATTTATAGCTTTCAAGGGCAACTGTCGGTAAAACCGGATTATTGGTTTGCGCCTGTTAGTATGACGTAAAGCTGACGTTGATCAAAGATCGGTCAGCTTGGGCTACTCTGCTTGTCTCTAAAATGATTTATTTCATGTAATTTTTCAGGACCGATGTGGTCTTGTGACAAGGGGCGCATATTGCACATGTATTGTCCAGGGATCGAATCCTAAATCGATACTCGTTCAAGTCAACCGAGCTTTCTCTCCTAGAATAAGTTTGGTGGTACCAGACTCGAATAGAGTACAAAAGCACTGATTTGTACATCTTCTGGCAGCCGCTAGTTATTGCATAGGCCGATATGCATTCAAAACGCCGCTACGTCGATTCTGAGTGGGAGCCTAATGCGTGGCGCATCCCGAGAAACCACTTATTAATGCCAAGGCCTTTTCCTTTTGTTTCATTCTGAAGATTCAGGAATAACACAACGATTGCATTTCAGTTGTACCTCCCGATCCGCGTTGACGGAACACACGTTCCTGGTGAGGAATCTCGTCCAGACTCTCTCGTTGTCAATACCTCGTCCAACCTTAAAAATTATCAGTTCCAAAAGCTGCATACTCCAGAACTTCTGTGATCTTTCCTGTTTTCTTCGCCACCACTGAGCTGTCCTGCATCAAGCCTTCCACCCCGTCACTTTAACATGGAAGAATAGTTTACTGTGCCTTTAGGCATCTCCAGATATCGATGCCGCTAGAAAGTGATACCAGAACCGGCTATCAGTGTAGAGGTATGGAACGCGCTTCGTGAAGGTGAGAACGCGAAATCGAACTGCTATTTGCACCCCGTAAAGCGCTGACGACATGTGAACCTGATAACCTCCAAGTTAAGCGATTAATTGAGCAATGTCAACACACGATTTCCATCTCGAGTCAATCCAAGCGGAAAAAGTAGTTGTTATCATAGAAATGTTTCTTTTTGTTTTCGTTATCGTAAAAAAAATTAAAAATCAAAATCAATCAGCCAAAAAGTAGTTTTGACGTACTGAGGAAGGCATTCGGATACTGTGGTCTTAGTGGATATGCTATGCACAAACACGAAGTGTCGAATAGTGCTCGAAAAAGGGTGTGGCTGGAAAATATGTGCACCTGTACGAGTTTCCTAGGAATGCTAGTTTTTTGAGAACTGATTGCGGAAGTTTTCAGTATACCGTATTCATTGTGTCCGAGTCAAACATTCCAGTGCACCTAACTCCAAGGATCAACCAAAATTGAGGTTACTCGTAGGTTCTAGGTTATTTTCTTATCAGTATTACACTTACTACAGCTTTTTAGCGCTTCTACACGTATAAGTAATTACTATTTAGTGAATTAGTAGCGAATCTGATCAAGTACTAAATAAGTATATAGTTAAGAAGCTAAAAGGGGGCGACTGGACCTTAGGAACAAGAAGATAGGCAGTGTTCGCAGAGAGCCTGATTGATTGATGTTTCACAGGTGAAGTAAGCTATTGGCCTTAAATTTTTTTAAGGAAAAAATCAGGATAAGTCCAATTACTGCCAGTCTTTACAATTCATTGTGAAGTCAGGAACCGTACCTGAAGGGTAAGCAGCTTAGCGATGTGTATCACATGAGACTGGCGTCGTTGAACTGAAATCTTCAGAACTGTTTATTGCGATTGTCGTGGCGAGAAACTGTGTTACACCCAAAGACCAACAAGATTTCTAGTGGTTTTCACATTTTGTTAGAAAGTTCATCTTGAAAAAAAAACAAAGGGAAATAAAAAATTCTAGAAAATAGCACAAATCCTTTAGTTTTGACGATGGAAGCAGACAAGCGCCATCCTCAGCAAAATTAGATGACAAGTGATGCTATGAAAGCATAAAGGTTGGTATGTCACGAACGATTCAGAATAATCTATGTAAAAATACAAAAATTACGGATTTTTTTCGTCTGAGCTACTCCATAGTACATAACTATTCATGTCAATGCGTAGGCCTCAAATGGAAGATTGAGTAATCCTGTCTGACCGGAAAGACCGATCGGAAACTATTACTATCAAACACTACTCGGTACTATTGAACATCCTGAATGTTGGGAGCGAAAGTTAATTTTCCAGAGTGGTATATCCGTCTTACTAATCAAATTGAACGGCTTCCAAAAAAAATGTAAGGAGATCAGAAATGAAGTGACGTTCTGAGAAGAATCAAATTCATGCGAATGGATTTGCACAATTGGTTCTCACTCTGGAGATAATTTTTCCTCCCGAACAGAAGAATGATGCTGTTTAATTGATCTCTGAACCATTTTCACTTTGCAAGTCCTGTGAACAACTTATGTTCTTTTTTTCTTGGAGGTGAAAACAATCTCCCTGTTTGAGAAGAACATTGTTGAAAACAGAAGCGGAGGTGTCTTGTTCAGGTCACAACTTCATAGTTATCGGCTGAATCTGAGTTCTTAGACTGTTTCTCTGGTCGGCTAGATTTTGTGATTATGTCAAATCAACTATGACGATGTTCCAATTAGGATGTAAGACCGCTTTTCTTGTGTTCACCTCGCTCATTGACTGAACACCGAAGATTTTGGGCAGTTTTCGTCGAGATACTCGCGGTTGCTATGCTATGCATGAAAACTTGCTGATCACGTATCGGAATATTGCCGCAAGCGTTGCCGAAAACTTACAACAGCCACGCCGTCGTGTGCCTTATAAAAGCTCCCGTAGCCGCAGTACATACACCAACAGTTCGTCGCTTACATCATTTCATTTCTTCTTATACCCCGACTAGATAGATTGGGACATCAGTTCTCCTACAGTAATCCTACTTTTCAATCAGCAGCTTCTGATAGAAGTTATAGAATAGTAGTACGGAATTCCTGACTATACGAGTAGCCCATCTGACTGACTCTGCTGGCAGTAGTCTGGTCTTCAGAACTCCTGGACTCCTAGTTGGTTCCAATTGAGGCAGTAGAACAACTCGTATATTGGGTCTGTTGGAACTGAATGAATAGCTGGGAAAAGGGATTCAAGTTATCAGCTCATATTCATAATGCGAGGCTCACTTTCTTCTGTACACCTCTCTATTTGCTTTATTAGAATAATTCCCTTATTTAAACTAATGTTAATATTTCAGTATGCGAACCTTACTGCTCGTCGCAGTGGTCGGTACCGCTCAAGCGTTCCTCTTTGGAGGCGGAGGAGGAGGAGGTTGCGGAGGAGGATGCGCTGCTCCCGCTCCCGCTCCATGTGCATCTTCATCTTGTGGAGGAGGATCGTATGGAGGATCATCGTATGGAGGATCGTCCTATGGCGGAGGATCATCGTGTGGAGGATCTTCTTGTGGAGGAGGATCATCGTGTGGAGGATCATCTTGTGGAGGAGGATCATATGGAGGCGGATCATCATGTGGAGGAGGATCATCATGCGGCGGAGGAGGATCGTATGGAGGAGGAGGTGGAGGATACGCTTCAGCACCATCTGGAGGAGGATACGCACAAGCTCCATCTGGAGGCGGCGGTGGATACGCTCAAGCTCCATCATACCCACCGCCTCCACCCCCACCCCCACCACCACCACCACCCTCATACGGAGGCGGTGGCGGCTACGCTGGAGGCGGCGGTGGCGGATACTCAGGAGGCGGTGGTGGTGGATACGCTGGCGGCGGCGGTGGCGGAGGATCATACGCTGGAGGCGGCGGCGGCGGATACTCTGGAGGCGGCGGTGGCGGAGGATCGTACGCTGGAGGCGGCGGCGGTGGCGGATACGCTGGAGGCGGTGGCGGCGGAGGATCGTACGCTGGAGGCGGCGGCGGTGGCGGATACTCTGGAGGCGGCGGTGGCGGAGGATCATACGCTGGAGGCGGCGGTGGCGGAGGATCATACGCTGGAGGCGGTGGCGGCGGCGGCGGCGGATACTCTGGAGGCGGAGGCGGCGGCGGATATTCTGGAGGCGGCGGAGGTGGAGGATCATACGCTGGAGGCGGCAGCAAAGGAGGATCATATGGTGGCGGTGGAAGCAGCGGTGGCGGATACTCTGGCGGCGGCGGAGGCGGATACTCTGGAGGAGGCGGTGGTGGAGGATCTTATTCCGGCGGAGGCGGAACTGGAGGTGGATCATATTCCGGAGGTGGCGGCACTGGCGGAGGATCCTACTCCGGCGGAGGAGGAGGCGGCGGCGGCGGCGGAGGTGGTTACTCTGGTGGAGGAGCTGCGCTTCCCCCACCACCTCCACCCCCTGTCAATCCTGGACCTGGTCCCGCTCCTGGATACAGTGACACCGGAGCTGCCTCAGCTCCTGCTGAGGTCGCTCCAGCACCAGCCGAATCGGTCGATGTGTCCGCGGCAACCAGTCCAGTCGGAGGACAAGCACCGTACTCTGAAGGCAGACGAAGGGCTTATAGACGACACATCTGATCATGACATTCGCTCAAGTGTTTGTAAATTTTGTAATAAAAAGTTCTATAGAAACTGTGTAAAGAGTTTGAAGAAATGAAAACAAAAACCACATGAATATCTTTGAAAACTGTATCTTCAGGAGTAATTCCATCTAAACGTTCGTTACTAGACTTCGGGCCTTAACAACATACAAGTTTCACATAAAACCGACAGAGGGTGTTCTGCAATTGTAGGGGACATTCTTGTGAGGGGAATCTGTTAGTTCACGTTTTCGTCACAGCTTGGCCTTTTCTGGGCAGGTTTCTGAAGCCACTAAAGCCGATGGGGCCTATGTAAGCCGGTGTGCTGCACTCAGTCATTTAAGAGCAGCTTTTAACGTCCTGCACCTTCACCAGTCAATCCGATCACCGATCCCTGATTCTGTAGCGGTGTCGTTGATCAACCATCTTCCAGGAGAACCTATTCTCGTTGGTTTTTGAAAATATTTCATTCCGACCTAAACAAAACAGCTACGAAGAATGTCCTCGGGTCCATTCACAGCATAGTCCCTAAAAACAAAATTTGGGATTGGGTGGAAGAAGCTGGCCGAGTTAAAAGCTGAATTCACCACGCAAACTCCATCCACTTCACGAGTCCTTCCTTTTGGAGAACTAATTGATATATGGTGAAGTGTCGACATTTTTGTGATAATTCACAGAACCAAGTCTTTGAGCGATAAACAATCGCGTCCGAGGGATGCGCCCACGCACTCGTTTTCCATTCAGAATCGTGGTGGCATGTTGAATGCGTATGTAGCCTATACAATAGCTTGCGGTGGCCAGCAGATGTACAAGTCAGTGCTTTTATCCTCCCAGACTAGTCTGGTACCAATTAACCGACCCCGGAGAGATGGAAGGCTTCGTTCGCTAAGGCGATCTCGATCCGAGACTCGAACTCGCGCCCATGCGTGTAAAATAGCAGTCACTTGCCACTGCCACACCACCTCCGCCCCAATCTTCAAAATGAGGATGAGTAAAAGCATCCAGTATAAACACCCCATGCAGCGAGTCAACTAAATTTTTTGTATGAAATTTCAGAGCCAAAACTTAGAAAATCCAATACATTAGTCTAAAAAAATTCCAACAGAATTTTCGAGAATTCCGAAAATTTGCCTACCTCTCGAGGTTCTTCAACGCTGTTCAAGGCTCGTAGTTCATGTCCCATTTGAGAACAGAGAGATCAAACTCCACATGGAACGTGATACTAGTTTGTCGGGCTTTGGTCTACAACAAGTGCAGCAATGACCTTGGGTTATACTATTTGCCGGGGCTTTTGAATAAGAACCCCGAACGGCACCAATGTTGGCCGCACCTCTTCACCTTGAAAAGAGTAAATTTTCTCGGTAAGAGTTCTCGAAACAGTTCGAGGTCGAGTTATTTCTCGGCGTGAACAGCTAACTACTACGGTGACTAGTATAAAAGAGCTTGAGCAGGAGGGTCGCGACAAACACACTGCGATGAATCTTGTTTTTGGGCTTCTTATCGTTGCCTCTCTCATCTCGTAAGTACAGCCAGAATGTTAGAGTTACTATATTTTCTTAATTGAAATGAGGATAAAGTCTTGGGGCGTCAGTCAATCCTGTCCGAGGGATGCGCCCACGCATTCAACTTCCATTCAGAATCGCACTGACGTATTGAATGCGTAGGTGGCCTATACAATGTTTGGGGCGGCCAGCCGATGTTCAAGTCAGTGCTTTTACCCTCCCAGACGAGTCTGGTACCAATTAACCGATCCCGGAGGGATGGAAGGCTTGGTTGGTCTAGGCGGATATTGATGCGGGATTTGAAGCCATGACCATGCGTGTTCGTAAAGAGCGCCACCTTCCTTTACACCACCGCTGCCCTATTTTCTTATTACTTATGAGTAATTTTGACAAATTAAGGAAAATATTGAATGATTCTGAGGAATAAAAATGAGATGTCTTGTGTCGTTGTCTAAAATGGGTGCGGAGTAGGTTTAGTGACAATTTGCGGCACCATCATACACATACACACACACACACACACGCACACACACACATATACACATACACACAGACGCACACAGAGACACACATACACACATACACAGACACGGATATACACACACAAACACACCCACACCCACACCCACATCTTACCGAAT